CCCTGGAAGCCTGTCGTGGGATCTCTCTGGGGCCCCCCAGGTGTGTCTTGTGGCGCCTTGGTGTCTTTGGGGAGCTTGGATATGAGTCTCAGATCTGGGGCCCTTCAGAAGGCAGCGGAAAAGGAAGACAGCGAACTACAGGAGCGAGAGGAGCAGGAAGAGGAAGAGCAAGAGGAAACCTTGTCGTAGGCCCGTGGTGGGGTCTTCTTGGACCGTCCAGGAGTCTCGTGGGTTCTTTTGGGGAGCTGGTGATAACAGTCTGGGGTCTGGGGTATGTTTTAGTTCTCGCGAGTGTTCCGTGGGCTCCTGAGACGAAAGGAGAACTGCGCATCAAATTGTGGTTCCCCGGACCCTGGAAGCATATCGTGGGCCCTCTTCGGGGCCACCTTGATCTGTTTTGGCACCCCTGGTTGCTTTTGGGGAGCTTGTGATAACAGTCTGTGGTCTGGGGCTTTTGACGAGGCAGCGGAGGAGGAAGACAACGAACTACAGGAGGAGCAAGAGGAACAGGAGGATAAAGAGCCGGAGGAGGAGGAGCAGCAGAGGGAGGTGGGGAGGAGATTTCCGAAGAGTTGGTGTCGAGAGTTAGGTTGGAACTTTCTTGGACTTTCTTGGGGATGTCTTCAGAGCCTCGAAGGAGCAGGAGGAGGAGGATCAGGAGAAAACCTCCTGAGAAAATGAGTATCAGTTTTCGTATCCCGGAGTCGGTGGAGGCAAATGAGGAGAGGGCGATGGAGGAGGAGGAGGAGGACGAGGAGGAGAGGGAAGGCGACGAGTTCGAGGGAAGAAGGAGGTTGAGGAGGGGGTGAGGGGCAGAGAAGGGGAAACGGAGGAGGAGGAGGTGGAGAAGGACGAGACATGGGCTGTCGGACGTCCGAGTAGGTCATGCCGAGAGTTATCTTGGAACCCTCTTGGGCTCTAGTGGGGATGTCTGCAGGGCCTCATGTGCCGTCTCATGTGCCGTCTTGGGGCGAGCTTGAGAAGAACTAGGGGCGATGGGGGGGACCGCTCAGGTCAATAAGAGTGTAATGAATTTGACGGCTCTAAGACTGAGTGGAGCTCCTGTTGGTGCTTTTGTATACCATCGGAGGGCCTTCTTGGGCTGTCCTGCGGCCCTCGTGGGCTGTCTGGGGGGGCTTGGGCCGTCCTGGGGCCGTGTTGGGGCTCTCTCGGGCCCTCTCTGAAGCATCCCGTGGCTCTGTTGGGGCCCTCTCGGATGTCTTTTAGGGGTCTTTTGGGCGCTCCCTGGCTTTCTTGGCGCTTTATTGGCCCATCTTTGGGCCCCATTGGGCCGCCTGGAGGCCATCTCGGGGCGACCTCGGAAGCTCGCAGACCATTCTTCGGCCGTTCGTGGCCAGAAAAGGCGAGAAGCACAGACTCGTTCAAACACCAATGGAAAATTAAGGCTTTTGGCCTGCTGAGGCCGTGTTGGAGGTCTTTGCGGGGGCATCCTGGGCCGTCTTGAGCCCATGTTTGGTCCTGTTGGGGCACTCTGGGGCCGTCTTGGGGCCTCTTGGGTCTTGCAGGGGACGTCTCGGAAGTGCCTTCTGCTGTCTTGGGCTCCCGATGTAGGCATCGTGTCGCTCTCTTCGGGGCATTTTGGGCCGTCTCGAAGCATTGTGGGGCTCTCTTGGGGGCCTGTGGGGTTCATGTGGGGTCCATGTGGGGGGGGGGGGTCGGTGACGTGCCGGGCTTGTCCTTGTAATTTGATAGGTAGAAGGAATCTGTATATACATATATACATCTCTAGCCCTCTTTCCTCGCGCCATGGCCACCCCTCCGACAGGGCAATATGTGTGCGAGCGGGAAGGCTACCCACAGCTGGAGCTGAGCAACGAACGCACACAGACAAGGGAATGCATTCGAACACTCTGTCAAATCCCACTGTCAAGTCGAAGCAAGGGGCGGGTGGGAAAGAGCAGCGGGAAGCGTTAGATTACAATAAATGGGAGGGAACTTGAGCGAAGACAGTTGCGGGGCAACAAGATGCGGCCAATTCTGCGAGGCTGAGGCTCCAAGATCAATGTACAAGTACCGTCAGATCTCTAGCCCTCTTTCCTCGCGCCATGGCCACCCCTCCGAGTGGGCAATCTGCGTGCGAGTGGGAAGGCTACCCACAGCTGGAGCTGAGCAACGAGCGCACACAGACAAGGGAATGCATTCGAACACTCTGTCAACTCCAAGCTGAAACCATGCCAAAGTCTAACCATGGCCTGCCGTTCAATCAAGAAAACTTCTGAGACAATTTACTTCGCAGGCAATCATTGAAGCACGAAGCTGGTTGACTAAGCGTTTGCACAGCGAGCGCGGGCAAGGCTCAGCCGTCTTGGTGAGCCACTTCCCATCGGGCCCTTTTCCGTGCAGCACCACATGCCTTTGGCCAGTGCGATCGCACTTGTGCTGATTTTTGGCACTGTGACACACGCGCGCGGCAGGGAGAAGATCGATATGCACGTGCAGAAGCCGAGTCCTCTTCCGCCACGGCATCCCATCCACACAGAAGTCCGCGGCGGTCTCTCTGACCCAACCCTAATCGATGAAATGAAAGGCGTGAGCCACAGGCGAGACGAGGCTGGATTCTCGAGTACTGCAGGCACACCGCGCGACAGGCAACCGGCTATAACTTTTGCCGAAAAGCGGCACAGCTCATTGGCAACGTCTACCTTCACTTGGTCGGCCTCTGAAAGTCCTGGAAGACCCAGAGGCAGGTCATCCGACCGCAGCCGCGGCGGCCCGGCGCCAGAGTCGCGCGCCCGGGAGAAGGTCGCGCGCGGCGCCCCGAGCCATGCCGCTCGGCAGCAGCCCGAGCGGATCCAGCCCAGGACGCGACGCTGGGCGGAGCGGCTGCTGAGGTCGTGGGAGCAGTGGTGGCTGACGTCGATCTCGAAGATCGGCAGGCCCCACGGCGGCCGCTGCCTCCAGCAGTGGCTGCACCCCCCGCCCCCAGAGAAGATCTCCAGCGCGAAGCCCTCTCTGCCCCCTAGTTGCGGCATGTCCGCAAGAGGCACGCGCCAAGCGTGCGCTCGGCCTCTAGCGCGGCGTTCAGCTCCTCGGTCGTCAGCGACCTCAGCACCTGGTTCACGCGCCCGCCCTTCTCGTACCGCTTGACTGACCGTAGGCTGTGCCACCTGCCTCGGCGCATGAGGCCCTCGGTGCTGCGGAACTCGGCCAGCTCCTCGTGCGACGCCCCGCCGTGCCTCAGCTGGCACAGCGTGGGGGCGACGAGGCCGGGGAACAATCGCCCTGCGGCGGACCGCGCGGCATCCTGCCACTGGGCGGAGCGCACCGGGAAGAGGGGCCTTCCCTCTGCCACGGTCCTCTGCAAGCTCACCAGCATCGGCACCACCAGCTCGAACTCGGGGCTGTCGAACACCATGCACTCGTCCTGCGCCCCCACCTTCGAGGTCAGACCCCTCTCGCGCGGGTGGAGCACCACGGACCACTTGCGGCGGTTCGGGGCCCCTCCGCTCACCGGCGCCATTATAAGCACCCGCCTGCCAGCCTCGGCGCCTCCGCCGGCCGCAGCAGCAGCAGCAGCAGCAGCAGCAGCAGCAGCAGCGCGAAGGCCATGGGCGTCGCTCCTGCAGCCGCCCGCTGCCCCCGCGCCAGCATCTCCTTTGCCAGAGCGGCCGTCGCAGGCCAGGGCAGCGGCAAGCGAGAGCTGGCAGGGTTGTGCCGTCTCCAGCCCTGGAGCGCCCGCCGCGATCTCCGAAGCCCGGGCGCGCCGCGAGGCACCCCCGGGAGCAGATGGCCCAGCGCCGCCAGCATCTTTGCCCCCGTCGCCAGCGGCTCGCCCTCGAAGAAATGCTCGTTCAGCCGCACCACCAGCGCGCCGTCGGCGTCCGCCGGAGTCTTCAGGCTCACCCCCTTCTTGGAGGCCCAGCGCACGAAACAGCTGAACCGATTGCGGTAGTCCTTCTGCGCGAGGGGCCCCGCCGCCTCGTCCTCCAGCACGGTCAGCGGGCGAGACCCGAGCGGCGCGCCGCGCTCCGGCTGCGTCAGCTCCTGCCCCAGCAGCGCCTGCCGCCGCCCGGCGGCGGCAACCCCGCGGCTGGCGCCTGCGCGATGGTGTGCTGCCGCGCCCGCGCTCGCCTGCGAACTGGCGCTGGCCCGGCGCCGCCGCTGCCTCGCCCGCCGCTGCGCCTGGCTCGCCTGCTTCTTCATGGAGGCACTGCGCCTTGGGAAGCTCGAGCCCAGGCTGCGGCCCAAGGGCCAAGGGGTCGCCACCGCCGCCTCGGATGAAGCCGCCAGGCCTCCAAGCCGCCTCGCGCCCGGGCCGCGGCTGAGCATCCCGACTGGCAGCGGCGCTACGCTCCTCAGAGCCGCGAGAGGCCCCGTCCGCCGCGTTCCTCTCGGAGGAGATCCAGCGCACGTGGACCACGGCGAAGCTGGCCAGGCACGAGGCGGCCCACTGCCTAAGGCAGCGCGCCATCGCCCTACTCGAGCTCCGACCCTTGGTGATCCCGAGCACAACGGCCATAGCATCACTGAGCACGAGATGTCGGCAACCCACAGCTTTGCTGTCCCGCAGAATGCGACGCAGCGCCCAGCGACGCAGCGCCCACACACCAGCCCGAGCCTCCAAGATCACCTGGTCGCCCGAGACGCTCCAAGGTCTACTCATCACACGCCTCCAGCAGCCTCCCCAGACAGACCTGGGCACCGCAGGCGCCCCACGAAGATCTCCTCGCTCTTGTCCCCGGACTCCCTCACCATCTCGTGGGCGTACCCGTTGCTCCCCGCACTTCGTAAACCTCCACCTATCAGAATATCGCCCCGCATGTTTGATCGCACACATGTCGCATCGTCGTTCCATAACCCCGTGGCCCCGCTCGCTCGCGTCGAAAACCGCCACCTTGGGGCTCCACGAGATACTGAGCTCTCTAGAGGCCAGGGGCACCAGATGACTCACCCACTCCAGCTCATCTCTCACAGAATCCCAAAGAGGTGTTACTCGGGCAGGATGACGATCGATGAAGGCATACACGGTGTCCGATCACTCCCCATCCTTCTTCTTGTTGTTGGTGAGGGCTCGGCGCTCCTCTCGCGCCTTCCTCACCTGCTTCATGATGTTGGCATCCCTCTCGATCTCCCGCGACGCGAAGTCCATCTGCTCCGGCGCCAGCATGACGCCGCCCGCCTCGCGGTGCTGGCCTGTGAACACCAGGCTCTCGTCCAGCAGCCCTGCGCCCTTGCCAGCTCCCTTCTTTCCTTTGCCGCCAGCCATCTGCCTGGCGACCCTCTCCTGCTCGTGCGCGTACTCTACCAGCTGGGCCTGGCGGAAGAGGACTTCGAAGCTCGCAAGGTTGCACAACTCCAGGTGATCGTAAGTCCCCGCCTCCTCCACCGCCTTGAGGCACATGCGGTGCGTGTCCTCACCCCAGTCGCCCGTCTCGAGGCCGCGCAGCACCGTGAAGTACCTGTGGTGGTCCATCGGTCCACCTCCTCGCCGGTTCAAGAACATCACGCACCACTCGGTGGTCCTGGGGCCGACCACGGGCCAGTCGGCGAAGTCAGTCACGCTCGACTTGCTCGCCCGTCGCGCCACTGGGTCCTCTGCCGCCCAGCTTCGCTCAGGTCCACGTTCAGGATCCGCGCGTCTCCAGCAGCCTCCGCCCCGACCCAGCTCATGACGTCCTGACGCCTCAGCCGTCGCAGGCACAAGCTCCCGCCATCGCCTGTCGGCGTCAGCGCCACATCGCCCAAGGTCACGGCGGCCGCTGGAAGCAGCACCTCATCTCCTCGTCGGTACTGCCCGCGCGTCTCCACCGCCACCCACACCAGGGTCGGGTCTCCGCGAACTCCTCCTTCGCCGCCCCCGCCTGCAGCCCCGCCTCCAACAGGTCCACCCACGTGCCGAGGCCCCCCAACCGCCAATGCCGCGCCCCCTGCCCCAGCCGCCAAGCCCCCCACCGCCGCCGCGGCATCGGGAGGCCCTGCCCCCGCTGCTGCCGCCGCCGGCTGGACAGGAAGCCGCTCCAGGTAGCCTCCTGGCGGGATCACCGCCGGGTCGCGGCCTGCCGCCGCCTCCCGCGCACGATGCTCCGCCCGCTCCAGAGCCTCCGACTGGTCGAAGGCGTCGTCCAACTCCTGCTGGGTCGGTGCCGCTCGAAACTTGTACACGCTCCCGCGCGCCAGCCCAGGAGGTGGGGGCCATCGCGCCTCTGCATACCGCACCGCCGAGATGTGCGCCTCCTCCAGGTCGTACTTCTCCGCGTAGCAGTCCCTTGTTGGTGTTGATGGCAACAGGCTGCACGATGCCTAGATGCCCTCGCGCGCAGCGCGAGAAAGTCGTAAAAGGTGTGGAAGAAACCGCCCTAGAGCCGCCTCGTGGCAACCCCAGGGCGGAATCCTCTTTACAGAGACAGGCAGGGCAACTGGCAATCGAGGAGGAGACAGCCAGCCGCCGCACATATCCTGCCCCACGTCAGGGAACAGGGGGTATAAAACCCTCTCAAATCAAAAGCACCATCACAAGTGAACACAAGTGAAAAGACATGTATGGGGTGCGCTTCGGCACCAGCTGGAATTAAAACTATACAAACCGGATTCGGGCGAGCACCCCAGAGAAGAGGACGACGACGACCCAAACACCCCACAACACGGGACCCCCCCCTTCACAGCCGCACCGCCTGCGCGAGCCGCCTCGGCAGACAGCAACGGTGGGGTTCAATACCGCCTTATGCCCAGGCTCCCCCCCCCGAAGGGAGAGCCAGCAACCAGGCGGCAGAACACGCGCACCATGCCATGAGCCGATTAGGGGCGAAGGCGGGAGGCGCGAAGCGTCAAGGAGCCCTGTGCGCAAAGGAGCCCGGCACGTCGCGCGGCCCCTCCCCCAGAGGCCCGGGATCCCAAACCCAGAGTCTCAGCGGCTAGCCCTCCTCTGGCCGCCGGTGACAAGGCAAAGCCCCCGTCCATGCACGCCCCCGCCCCACAGTGGAGGCAAGGGCCGTCTCCGGATGCCGCAGAACGGCTCTGTAGACGCCGCGCAGCGCACGGCCCCGGCCCTCCGGATAGGCGTAGGGGGGTAGGGCACTGGCGTGCCTGCCCACGGCGACTCAGCTTGCGCCGAGCGCCGCACGCCCCAGCTGCCCAGGACGTCCCCGCGTAGTTAGTCGCCGAGCACGCCCTTGAGTTCCCGACGCGCCGCCTCTGGTGCCACAGTTTGCCCTCCCCATTGTAGAGCACGTGCACCCACGCGCAACTCGCCGCCTCGGGCGTTCCCGCCAGCTGCGGCTGCCATCGCGACGGCAGCAGCGACCCAGGCCCCGCACCAGGCCCCCGATCGCCTCAGCGCCGCACGCCCCGGCCAGGCACCCCACGCCGAGCAGCGCGACGGCCCAGCTCCACGGCAGCCCGAGTTGCAGCTCCACCTCTGCAGCGTCTTGCCGAACAGCGGGCGCGCCTGGGCACGCCGGGCAAGCTGGGATCGAAGGGCGCCGACCGCAGTGGCAGTCGGGGCACCGGTGCTCGGGGCACCACGGGCAGCTCGCCAGGTAGGTCTGCGTCAGACCTGCAGCCACCGTCGCGAGCTCGCCCCACATGCACAGCGCCCGAGAGGGACTCGAGAGCGCTGACCCCTCCACAACTTAACTTGAGCGAAGACAGCTGCGGGACAACAAGATGCGGCCAATTCTGCGAGGCTGAGGCTCCAGGATCAATGTACAAGTACCGTCAAATATTGAAGGGGCCCCAGAACACACAAATAAATAGACACAAATAACCAGATTCCCCATATTTTCCCATATTTTCTGGGTTTTTGTCTTCCCCCCCACTTCCCATATTTTCCCATATTTTCTGGGAAATCGAAGATTAATTGTGTCTGTGTGTTTCGTTCCCTCCTGAAATAGATGCGTATGTATACACATGCCTTGTAGGCTTCCTCCTTGACTGCCAACCGACTCCGAACGTCTGGACTCCCAGATCGGCACCTGCTTGAGCGACGAATACTTGCTGGCGCCCCCCCCCTCCCAGTGCCCGTCGTCGTGGGGGGGGGCGAGCGGCGGCACGGCGCCCGCCCTCCGCCCCCCGTGCGCTTCCGAGGGCAGCCTTCCATCCACAACCACAAATACAGGTCTGAATGGCTTCGTACATTAACAAGCGAGGATCAAAGACGATTCCAACAGCTTGAAAGATGCTCCACACGGACGGCTGCGAGAAATGATATGCATGCTTTGGGGCATCTCCTGTGGGCCTGCCGGCGCCCCCCCGGCCCTCTCGGCGCTCCGCCTCCTGCGCTCCCCGCGCCGTGCCTCTGCCCCCGCTCGGCCCGGAGGGCGGCGCTGCGGGGGCGAGCCGACAGCATCTGAGGGGGCGGGCGCGCCGAGGAGGGAGCGAAGCGGGCAGGCGTTCCACGGAGAGGCCGTGGAGGAGGACGTCCAGCAGGCAGTCGTCTGGAACCAAGGGCTGCCCCGCTGAGCGTCATGGAGGGCAAGGAGGATGAAGAGGAGTCAGGGGGTGAGGAGAAGGAGAATGGAGAGGAGTCAGGGGGTGAGGCGAAGGAGGAAGAAGAGGAGTCAGGGGCTGAGAAAAAGGGGGAACCGGGTGAGGAGGGGGGGAGAAAGGAGGAGGAAGCGAGTGATGGGGGGGGAGGAGGAAGGAGAGGGAGGCGGAGGACGAGGAGGAGGAGGAGGAGGAGGAGAGGATGGAGAAGGAGACGGAGGAGGAGGAGGAGGAGAAGGAGGAGAAGGAGGAGGGAGGGAGGGAGGGAGGGAGGGAAGGGAGGAGGAAGGGAAGGGCAGCAGAAGGACGAGGAAAAAGAATGTGAAGAGATGGAAGAAGGGTGGCAACATCCTCGGAGGATTATCATGCCGACATTGCCGTGCCCACTTACAAGAGGAGAAAGATAAGTCGGCCGAGGAGGAGGAGGCCGACGACTACGACGGCGCGGAGGGAGGAGAGAGGGAGGAGGACGAGGGCCAGGGGGGGGAGGAGAGGCGACGAAGGCCAGGACGAGGAGGACGAGGGCCAGGACGAGAGAGGGGGGAGGGAGGGAGGGAGTGCGAGGGCCTGGGGAGGGATTGGCGCGGAGCAGGAAGGGGGGATGGGGGAGAGGGGAAGTGGGGGGAGAGGGGGGAACACAGGACGGGGACGGGGACGGGGCGGCGGCGGACTTGGAGGGGCGAGGGAGGGCCGCGACACTCGCCGTCCACGGCGCCCGGCTGCGGCGCGGGCTGGCCTCTTAGCGCCACCGCCGCAGGCGCATCTTGTTGGTCTTCTTGTAGTGGCCCTTGTACGACGGGCGCAGCTTGCTGGCGCGCTTGCCCTTCTTCAGCAGGCCGCGGGCCTTGCGGCCGGCCGCGGTCAGCCCGCGCAGCTCGCGGTGCTTCATCACGGCCTTGCAGATCCAGTTGAGGCGGGGGTCGTCGCGCACGCACTTGTGCATGGGGTCGACCATGACGACCTCGAACCACTTGTACGTGGAGTCCTGCGCGACCCAGTAGGAGTTCAGCACCCGCAGGCTCGAGAGCTTGCGGCCCGCTCGCTCCTCGGCGATGCTGCGCAAGTTGCGCACCGTCTTCCAGTGCTTGACGCCCTGGTTCGTCGGCTTGCCGTAGACGATGCCCTTCGCGACTCGCTTCTTGCGGTCGCCGCGCTTGACCCTGACCCGGTACACGAGCACGCCCTGCTTCGCCTTGTAGCCAAGCCGGCGAGCCTTGTCCGGGCGGCTCGGCCGCGAGCAGCGGTGCAGGGCCGGGAGCTGACGAAACTCCCACGTCCTCAGACGCGCCAGGAACCGCATGACATCCGACTGCTTCTTGCGCCAGAGCTCCTCGAGGTACTTGTACGCACCCATGGCTCAGGCGTCCTGTGGCTCCCCCTGGCTCGCCTAACTCTCGCCGCAACCCCTGAGAGATCCTGGGACAAAGTGGCTCGAGCCAAGGAGGCTGCGGAAGGCAGGAGGGGAAGAGGAAGAGGGGACAGTGGAAGTCCTCAGATCCGTCTCCCAAGAATCACCCTCCCCCACTCCCCCTGCACTGACATCCGCCGCTGTATTTTTTCGATCGGTGGCCCGAGAAATCCCGACTCACTCTCCGGGAGTAGTTGTTCGTCCCGGATCAACGCTTCCAAGCCGGCTGTTACACAGCACTCTTTTGCACTTCCCCGGTCAAGGCAGCTCGCCTGGCGATCTGCTACTGGATGGGCTGGTGGGGATACTTTTTTGGTTCGCGGCTCCAAGGCGAGGGACAAGGAGCGGGCACAACGTCCGGGGCGCGGTACGATGTAAATTGGCCGCAGGGCTGGTGGGGATACGCGAGGCGTCACAAAGTACGGCTGCTCCTCTTGAGCCCTAAGCGTCGCCTCTCGGGCTTCCGTTGGAGCGCTTTTGGGGTCGTCTTAAAGCCCTCTTGGGCCTCTTTTAGGGTCCTCTTGGGACCTCTTGGAGCCGATGGGCAGGACGCCGCATGCTCCTTCAAAGCGGCGCGCGTCCCTGGCAGCACACCGCGCGGCCGACCGAGCTTCAAATCGCGCGGCACGATATGAAGGAAATTCGCATGTCTTGATCCTTGGCAATCGGTCGGATCCTCCCACCTTTGCCCTGGCCAAGCCTGCATGCACTTCCGAAATCTGGAGTGAGCTTGCCGTCAGATGCTGCCGTGCCGCAGCGGCAGCATAACAACATCGATGCCCGCGGGGATCGTCCGAGGCCCTCGGCCCGCAACGCCTCGTGGCTCCGCCACAAGGCCGCTGCGCGGGCGAACCCCTCCCGCCCCGTACCCAAACCGATGAGACGGGCCATCATCGGAGCTCTCTTGGCCCCCTGGAACCCTCATCAAGCGGGGCCTCTCCCCCAGGGAGCTCCTCGGACACCCTGGTGTGCCAGTGGGCCTCCATGGGGCTTTCATTGGTCTTGGCCTTCGGCCACTACGTACACAATGGTCGTCCAAAGGGCGGACTCGCTAGCTAGAACATTGAAGCCGTACCACTGGTGGAACTGTTCTATTCCGACGCCGTGCTTAGCCGCGCCTTCTGTGGCGAACCGAACATGAGAACATGAGTTATGTTGTTACCGACTTGCCTTGAGCCTCTCACTGTTTCGTCGTAAAAAAAGAGGGCCCCACGGGAGGCCCAAGATAAGATGGCCCCACGATTGAGCCAATAGGGGTCGTGGGGCAGTAGCTTGGAGGGTGTGGCTCCAAACCTGCCCCGAAAGATTTGAAGAAACCCCAGACGCTCCCGAGTGGCCCCGAAGAGACGCCGGGAGGCCCCCAAGAGGCATTGCAGAGATTTCGATGGGCTCATGATAATCACGCCGCGAGCCTACGACAGGCGTCCAAGACGCCTACAAGACGCCCCTAAATAATGGTCCATGTTAAGGGTTTGTTGATGGGGCCGTCGGCTTTGGGGCACGATCCGTGTGAAGAGTGAGTTGAAATACGCGGGGGGGGGCCGCTAGGCGAATCTCCCCACTAGGGCAACACGTGGAATTAACCCTTCTGGGACACGATCCGTGTCAAGGATGTGCCGCGATGGGCGGAGGGACGCGTGCGAAGTCTTCCCTGGCACTGTAAGTGGAGCTCCCAGGGGGGGGGGACGCGATCCGTGTGAGGGGCGTGCCGAGATTGGCGGGGCGATGGTATGTGCTCCGCGTGTACTTCAGTCAAGGGCTGCGGCTTGCTAAAGCCTGGGGTACGCTTCTTGCCGCCGCGAGCTTGATACCGCGCGCGCCAGGCTCCACCCCTGCTAGGCCAACAAGGGGCTGCTTGGAGCCCACTTCGGGATCTCCGTGCGGCACCCTTGACGCCACTCTCGGGGCTGCTCGTGAGCCCTCACGGCTTGCATTTCGGGCTGAGGGGGCGTTGCTTTGGGCCCTCTCGTTCTGACGCCATCGTCTGGCTTTTTTGGAGCGCCTCTTGGGTCCCTCCTGTGCCCCGCTTGGGCCTCCCTGGGAGGCCCTTGGAGCCTCTCTTGGGGAGCTCATTGACTGTACTTGGGTGCCCTTTGGCCCTGTCTTGGGCGCCCCTTGGGATGCTCGTGGCCTTTTTCTAGGGCGGCTCGTCCCTGGGATATCTGAGTTCCCGGAATCATGTTCGGTAATTTCCATTGTGTTGCATTATGTTGCATTGTGCTCCGTTGGGTTGCTTCCCCTTGCATGTGCAATTGAATTGCTGCGTGATCCACATTTCATTGGCGAGCATTGCTCTACGTTGCTTTGCGTTGCATTGCTTTGCATGTCATTGCATTGCTGTGCAGATGTTCTGCTAACGTGTGGTTGTAACGCTTCGAGCCGCATTGGACCCGCATCTGGTTTGATTCCATGGCAATGCATTGCACTTCGCTGCCGTATTGGTCACCATTGCTGCCAGTGGGAATGCCCTTGTCAGCAATTCGTATCTGTTCTGCCCGCGTAAAAGATGCGGTACCCCATGATCCAACCATGTGTGGGTAACTGCTTTAGTGGCTGTGTGAACTTGCAAAAGGCTGGGGCTGACTAGAGCCTAGGCGCGCGAAGCGCGCGCGGTTCTAGTCTGTATGCGTATGTAAATGTATATGCATGGATCGCTGTATGTATCCCTCTCTCTCTCTCTCTTTACGTCGTTTCGCTTCTCTCTCTATATACATAGGCTTACAGATAAGTTGTGTTGACTGTCTCTCTTCCTGTAGGTTTACGTTTCTCTGCTCTACCAATCTCGCTCTGTCGCTTGTCGCTCTCTCTCTCTCTCTCTTTCTCTCGATCTGTGCTTGTCTTTACGTTTCTATAGTTATCTCCCTGTCTCCTTATCTCTCTGGTTCCCTCTCTCTCTCTCTCTTTTTTCTCTCTCTCTCTCTCTCTCGCTCTCTCTCTCTCTCTCTTTTTCTCGCTCTCCACCTTCTCCGCCTCGGCCTCTCAGGGAGTGTCCAAACGAGAAGGGTAAACTCTAGATTTGTCGTTTCCCTGCCAGGTGGCGACTTGCACGCGGACGTCACGGATGCGTCCACGAAAGGAGTTCAATATGGAGTTGCCCTTCCTCGGGATGGATCCCTGTGACGCTCGGCGTTCACGAGAAGGGTTTAATCTGGAGTCCCACCAGCCCTTTGGGCGTGAGTGGTTTAGCGAGCTCTCTCTGTCCTCAACGCCCCTTCTTCCCCTCCGGGGAGGGGTTTACCCGTCCCCCTACCCCCTCCCCCTGGGCCTGGAGAGGGCGCCCCGCGGGTCGTTGGAGGGGTCTTTTTCGACTCCTGGGAGGGCTAAAAAACGACGACCCTCACGAGGATTCTGGCCCCGAGGGGGGGGGAGGGAGTTTGGCGCCCGAACTCGTCGTTGAAGTAAAAAACATTGATTTTACGACGGTTTCGGCCCCTTTTTGGCCTTCTGAGGGGGCCCCGCTCATCTTCCTTCATAGCAAAACCATTGATTTTACGAAGGTTTTGGGCTCATTTTGTCCTTCTCAGGGGGCAGCGCTTACTTGCGCTTCTGAGGAGGTCGCCAGAGGCCCCAAGATGGCCCCAAGAGGCCCCCAGGAGGCTCCCAAGACGCCTCCAAGAGGCACCCAAGAGGCCCCCAAGAGGCCCCAAGAGGCCCCCAAGAGGCCCCCAAGACGCCCCCAAGAGGCCCCAAGAGGCCCCCAAGAGGCCCCCAAGAGGCCCCCAAGAGGCCCCCAAGAGGCCCCCAAGAGGCCCCAAGAGCCTCCAAGAGGCCCCCAAGAGGCCCCACGAGGAGCCCGAACGACTCACACCAGAAGGAGGGGCCCGAACGACTCACACCAGGACGAGGCGCCCGAACGACTCACACCACGAGGAGCCCGAACGACTCACACCACGACGCGGGCCCCGAACGACTCACACCACGAGGAGCCCGAACGAGTCACACCAGGAGGAGGGGCCCGAACGACTCACACCAGGATGAGGGGCCCGAACAACTCACACCACGAGAAGCCCGAACGACTCACACCAGGACGAAGAGCCCGAACGACTCACACCACGAAGAGCCCGAACGACTCACACCAGGAAGAAGGGCCCGAACGACTGACACCAGGACGAGAAACCCCAAACGACTCCAATCACGAGGAGCGCTTTCTCTCCCTCCCCCTCCGCCTCGTCCTTCTCCCGCTCCCCCCACAAGGAGGATGTGCAAGGAGGCGGGAGGAAGGAGGAACAGGGGAGATATGCGGGGCCAAGCGGACACACGCCTGAAAAACACGACTGTCGACATGCTTCGCAAGAGTTGCTGCTGTGAGATGGGCTGGTGGGGATACGCGAAGCGTGAAGAATAAACCTTCCTCAGGATGGATCCCTGCGACGCTCGGCGTCCACGCCCCTCTCACGGTGAATACCTTGACGCTCGCCCAACGGAAGGTTAACTCCAGAGTGAACCGGTTTAAACTCGTGATTACCGCCTCTTCCGAGGAGGATGAGGCGGAGGAGGAGGAGGAGGAAGAGGAGGAGGAGGCGGAGGAGGAGGAGGAGGAGCAGCAGCAGGAACGGCCCCGTATCCAGCGCGGAGCGCACGCCCCCGCAGCGGGAGAATGCGGCGGCCTCCTGCGCGACGGCCAGCCGCTGCTCCGCGCGTTTCTCGATTAGGTTCCCCGCCAGGAAATGGTGCATGAGCGCCTGGACGGCGGGGAGGAAAAGGACGGGGAGGAGGAGGGTAGGAGGGAGGGGAGGAGGAGGAGGAGGAGGAGGAGGAGGCGGAAAAGGAGGAGGAGGAGGCGGCGGAGGAGGAGGAGGAGGAGGAGGAAGAGGAGGAGGAGGAGGAGGAGGAAGAGGAGGAGGAGGAAAAAAAAAAGGAGGAGGAGGAGGAGGAGGAGGAGGAGGAGGGGAGGAGGAGGAGGAGGAGGAGGAGGAGTTTTTCAACAGGCGCGGCGGCTAGCGTGAGGACACGACTAGGCGACTCGGGCGCGAGCCCGAAAGGGATAAAGGGTGCCCAGGCACCTTTCGACGGGCAGCAGGCGCGGCCAAGAGCCTACTCGCCGTCGGAGGCATCGCCCACGACGACCAGGTCTCCGACCAGGGCGTCGAGGACGAAATCCACGAACGGCTGTGGCCGAACCTGGCCGCTGGCTGGGAGCATCAGCGGCAGGCCAGTACGTGGGTGCTGCCCAGCCCACAGGCGCCCCCGATGGGGGCGCGTCTGTGGGGGATGGAGGAGGAGGAAGAGGAGGAGGAGGAGGAGGAGGAGGAGGCGGAAGAGGAGGAGGAGGAGGAAAAGGAGGAGGATGGGGATGAGGAAGAGGAGGAGGAAGAGGAGGAGGAAGAGGAGGAGGAGGGAAGAGGAGGAGGGAGGAAGGAGGGGGAGGAGGAGGAACTAGAATTGCGGGGTTTGGTTCTTGGTTGAAGCGGGAAATGTGGCATGATGGCGATAAGCAGTGTACGCGCCGCATCTGTCCTTTTATCGGAGATATGATTTCGCGCCAGCGCTTGAGCTGGGCGGCAACCAAACATCGCATCCCACTCGAGCAGGGAATGTGCGGGCGATCGAGCAGCTCTTGCGGAGCACAGCGAAACAAGACAAAATAGCCAAAACGGTCCAACCCCTACGTACTACGTACTTTTCCGACCCGTCCAGGATACTCAACCGCCACCTGGAAAGCGCCGGCTCGCGCGGGCGGCGGGCTCACAGACTATACTCGGGAGCTCGTCCTTGCTCTCGCGAATAGCACGTCGACGCGTACGGACCCCGAGCTGCAGACTGGCACGGCAGAACATCTGCGTTGAAGTGCTCGGCGAGGATGAATCTCGGGGTCGTGACATGGCGAAGATGAGAAGGCAGCTGCCTTGGACTGGCAGTGCGGGAGCGAGAAGCAAGGAAGGGTTGAACGCAAGGGGCGCGCGTGCGCATCGCCGCTTCAGTCGCCGAGCGCTCTCAGTCGATGCCAGCGTCGGGAGACTGGACTGGAGGCGACTTCGGCGAGTGGCCTTCCTGCAAAGCTTGCTCTGCACCCTCGGCGGCCCCGGTATCCGCCAGGTCCAGGGGCCCGACTTCGAACTCGGCAGCCTGCGCGCCAGTGGGCGTGGACGCTTCCTCGGCCTCGCCCTCCTGCGGCCTGGATGCTGCCGCTGCGCGGCTGGGGCGGCGCGATCTGCCTCGCGGTGGCACTTGGCCTTCTCCCCGCCGCGCCTCCGCGCGCGAAGATCCCTTGCGGCCAACACTGCCATTGCCACTGGGCGCTGCCGCTCCTGCCCCAGGTGCTCGCTGCTTCCTCGTGCGCCGACGGGCGCCGCGGCCCCTGGGCCTCAGCACCAGCCGTCGTCGACCTCCGGCGCTCGAAAGAGCAGCCCTCGCACGAGCGCCTCGGGGGCGGCCGCGAGCCCTGACGCGACGCGGGCCTCGGCCTCGGGCCCGCAGCGCCGTGGAGGTCGTGCGTGGGCGGCGCCGCGACGGACCGCGCAGCGCCTGGGGGGGTCGGACCTGTGAGACACTTTGAGGGGGTCCAGCCGGTGCCCCGGCCAATATTAGCCGCGCAAGCCCCAGTAGCGTCTGCGCGAGGCCCTCTCTCCTGCGTCGAGGATGTCCTGGTGGAACCTGCACTGTCCCGCGCGGAAATCCACTTCCCGCCCATCGTCGGCCTCTTCATGGGGTGTTGCTGAGATGGCCTGGCTCCACGGACCAGCTTCGCCTCGAGGGTAAAGGCCGCCCGCGCCACGGGCTCCATGACGCCAGGGCTGTAAAAATACAGACTGCCGGTGGACAAAGGGATCTTGTCGGCGACGCGCCGCTCGATGACGAAGCGCTGGACTTTCCGGTGGTCGAAGGAGTCCAGTGGCCCAGTGACCAGTCACGCGGGGCCGCTTCCTCCTCCTCGGTGTCCACCTCGACCACGGCGAGAGCCGTGGGCGACACCTGTCCTTCAGGAGGCGGAAGGAGAACGGCAGGCCGGCCCTTCCTCGTGGCCGGCAGCTTCGGCCTGGCCGGACTGGCCGACCAGGGCCTCGGCGTCGGAGGACTGGCCATGGAGTCGCGGCGACGGCAACGGTGGGGCCGATTGCGAGCAGCAGGAAGAGCAGCACGGCTGCGGAAGTGATCGCGCAAGTCAGGTGCACCCCGAGACGCCCTTCCACGCGGGGTGCGCGCCCGACGCCGCTGATCCTGGTCACTCCTCCCAGCGGGCGGCGGAGGCTCCGCCGGAGCGCCAGCCCTCAGGTGCGCCAGCAGAGACATCGTACAGTCAAAACGTGTAATAAGGACGGGTGATAAGGACGCAAGACCCTTGGAGCCCGAAGTTGGGTTTTTTAGGGCGGCGGGCGACCAGTGATAATGGCAAGGACGGGCCTCGGAGGCAAGGGCACGAGGGTACCCTAGAGGAAGGCGCGCGTCCTTACTAGGCGCGTTGACTGCAAGTGGCATGCCAACAGGGCCTCCCCGGATGGGGCGCGCGCTCACGGCGAGCCTGCCGCTGCACCGATCCAACCGGGACCCTGGGAGCGCAGGCGCTCTTCCCCCCGGAAGAAAGCGAGGGGGGCCCACGGGGGCCCTTTCCCCTCTGATCTCGAACACCCTCCCCTATAATCGGTTCGAAGCCCCCCCCCCTCGAGGGCTCCCCCCCTGCCCCGTTTCTGACCCCCCATTGCAATTCGGGGGGAGCCCCCTGGGGATCGCTTGGACCCCCCCCCCCGTCCAAGCGTCCACTGAACGTGCTCTTGAAGAAAGCACCGTGAGCCAACACATGGCTAATACCACATCACGCCCCTCAGGCGAAGAACTGAAAAAGACAGGACGGCCCGAAATCGCCCCATACCCATCCAGCTGGGACCTTCCCTACCCATCCCCGTTCCTTCGCTGCATCCTCCCTACCCACCCGCTGTCCGCTCTTTCCGTCCTCTTCTGAAATGTGCCCTGCGATTGCGGAAAACGTGCTCTACTCTTCTCTGAGAACGTGAAACGCCCACGCATAGCTTGTTAACGGAAAGGCAGGCCTCTCCTCCACTCTCTCCTCCCCCCTCCTTCACTCCATCTCTGCACACAATGCCGCCGGCTCAATCAAAATCATAGTTCCCTCGGCGGACGCCCGCGATTTCTTCGTCACTTTCCTGTCTTGTCCTCCTCCACTTCCTCATAAACACATCCTCCTCCTCCTCCTCCTCCTCCTCCTCCTGCCCCTCCTCCTCATCCATATTACCTCTCCTCCTCATCATCCTCGCCATCCTCCCCATCGTGCACCTCACCATGATCATTGCCATGATGGTAAGCACCAGCATCACATCGTCACCACCATCAGCAGCAGCATTACTGTCCGATAGCATCATCCTCATTCGCCATTCATCTCAAAAAAATTCCAACCTCCCCCTCCTCCTTCTCCTCCTCGTCCTCCTCCTCCTCCTCCTCCTACTTCTCCTTCTCCCCTGTTTCCCTCGGTGCATCCTCCTCTTCAGTGCTCCCACCCCTCCTCCTCGTTTGTTCCTGGACGGCTCGTATATTCCCAGGCTGCGTCTACGGAATGATAGGGCAAGGGACCACCGCTTACGCTGCCCTCCCCCCCAGGCGGACGCCTCTACGCGGGCGTGGCGCATTCGCATGGTGCGGCGGTAGCACTCTTGCACCTTGCGGACGTTTGCCAAGAACGTCCTCGCGCCAGGTGCTCCGTGGGGACAAACGAGGAGGACGAGAACGGCGATAATGACGGCGATGACAATGACAGAGAAGAGGAAGACCAGCTCGGCGCGCCCGCAACATGTCTGGCATCCTACCCCTCCAACGTCCCGTCTCACTGCGCTGATGTTTTGTATATCCGCCAAAATGACCCATGCGTGATGCTCAATGAGCAAGGAGGGACCGTGTACATTTGGCAAAGAGGTGGCAAATGAGCAAGTGGATGAACGGCACGAGCAGGAAGAAAGATGGGCAGCACTATGACAAGGAGCGGGAAGAACATGAAACCCTGGGGAAAGGCGGAGGAGAGAAAACGAGGTGGACCGCAACGACGAGGACCATCGAAACCCAAACCGGATCCAGAGATGTGGCCCGCGTTGGGGCGAGAGCGCACACCTGAACGACGGGAGCAAAGCGCCGATCTTAAATGTGGCAGCAGGAGCACCACGCTTGAAGGACCGAAAACGCTTTGATTGGAAAACAATGTAGACACTCAGACTTCGAGAATCCAGTGTCAGAAAACATGATGCGAGATACGCTGGGGATTGAGAAAAAAAGCAATATCGTGCGAGAGAAGAAATCCGCCGGCCCCCTTGTGGGGCCACCAGGCTGCGAGGCGCGGGATTCGCAGTTTCCTGTACCAGTTGTAGCTTGTAGTTTCCAGTGTTACAGTTCTGCTTCTTGCTGGTTACTGTAACTAGTTGACTTATTGCTGGTTACTGTAACTAGTTGATTGACCGCGCGAGGGGGGGGGAGGCCCAAACAGGCTTTTTAGCACCCCCTGGGCGCGTTGTCTGAATTGCTGGGGGGGCTCGAAATCGACACCCCTCACGCAGATCCGCGGGGTCAGGGTCCAAAAACACAGGGATTTGCCACATTTCTGAAATTCGGTGCCACCCCTCACGCAGATCCGCGGGGTCAGGGTCCAAAAACACAGGGATTTGCCACATTTCTGAAATTCGGTGCCACCCCTCACGCAGATCCGCGGGGTCAGGGTCCAAAAACACAGGGATTTGCCACATTTCTGAAATTCGGTGCCACCCCTCACGCAGATCCGCGGGGTCAGGGTCCAAAAACACAGGGATTTGCCACATTTCTGAAATTCGGTGCCACCCCTCACGCAGATCCGCGGGGTCAGGGTCCAAAAACACATGGGATTTGCCACATTTCTGAAATTCGGTGCCACCCCTCACGCAGATCCGCGGGGTCAGGGTCCAAAAACACAGGGGATTTGCCACATTTCTGAAATTCGGTGCCACCCCTCACGCAGATCCGCGGGGTCAGGGTCCAAAAACACAAGGGATTTGCCACATTTCTGAAATTCGGTGCCACCCCTCACGCAGATCCGCGGGGTCAGGGTCCAAAAACACAGGGGATTTGCCACATTTCTGAAATTCCGTGCCACCCCTTAGCACATCCATCGCAAGGCGTGGTAACCCAAACTGCGAGTACTCCCTCGGCCCTTTAATCCGAAGGTGTGGTAACCAAGCTCGTAAACCATACACGTCTTACCAATCGCCCTGTGTGGCAATCCCTCTTGTGATCAGTTGGTTTTGCCGATTGCGAATCGGCCTCGCATGAAGTTCCGATACTGCTGCACGACAGCGCCAAAGCCTCATGACTTAGCTCTTCCATGGCCCATTCTCCGAGAGAGCGGGCCGGCGGCAGGGGGCGAAGCCCTTACGGATAAATCACTGTTTTGAAAGTCTCTCGGGCGCCAGCCCTTTGTAGACATAATGTTTTACAGGGCAGAGCAGAAGCAACACCCGTGTGACATGGACCTGGAGCCAGCTGCGGAGAGAACGGCGCTGGACTTTGTCGCGACGTCCTCACTACCGACGCACGGCCGTGCAATGTTTCAACGCTCCACCTAAACGGGTTGGGAACGACTATAACTTACTCAGAACGTGGGAAGCTTGAGCACGAATAGCAGCAGACACGGTCGCGTCTGCATCGGCCGCTTTCCTTCCGACCCCTTGCAGAGAACACCAGGCACGCCAGAGCAATATATGCTTTGGCGGACTCTCGGGCGCCAATTCTTCCTATGCTTCTGATTTCCAGGGCAGACCAGAAGCAACACCTGTGTGATATGGGCGAGGAGCCAACTGCAGAGAAAACGGCACTGGACTTTGTCGCAACGTCCTCACAGCCGATCGCACAAACAAAACAGCGAGCAACAACCAAACTTGCGAAACTCTCCTCTGGCCGCCAGGCCACATATCTAGATAAAGCTCCAAATACTTGGCTACGCAGAGTTCGCCTGTTTGTCTACACGATTAGCTTGCACACGTTTTGGGGGCAATGCTCGGCTATATGAGTCCAGAAGCGTCTCGGCGCGCCCTTACCCTCCAGCACCTGACGAAGGCGCTGGGAGAAGCTGCGCGCCCCTCGACACTAAGCGGGCATGCTGCAAGAGGCTGGAATTGAAATGGCAACATCGAAACCTGGTTCGTTTTCGCCCAGGCTTGCCGAATTCACAGAAGTCTACATCAATATCCCAGACATTTCCAAGATGAGCGAGTGCCAGCCCCTGGGAGCTTCCAGGGCCACGAGATGGCAAGGTCTTCAATGCCCACGGGAACCCGCAGGGTCCTACACAGCGCGAGTAGGCCGAAACTGAAACGAGGTATACTGTTGCCCCTACGTAACTTCGAAGAGTCTACTGCGCTACAGCTGGGGAGGCCCAGAGGATATTCAGCATTGCGAAGGGATGGAGGTCCTCCAGGTCTGTCTCGAGCTCTTGAGAACGATTGCCATGGAGTAGCTGGCAATATATGTGTTCCTCGACTCCAACCTCGGATCAGACGCTGACCGCGCCTGCTAAATAACATCGCTCTTAACGCCATGAGCTGTGTCAGGCTCAAACACGGCCGTCAGTCCGTTGAAACACAGGCACCAGGCTAGAGACAAATTCCCACTGCCGCTGAACACCTCCAGCATCACTGCAAAACCACAGGGCGACCGCCAGAAAGGCTAGGTCCGGCACGTTAGCGGGCAGTGATTTCAGCTGCTCCTGGATCCGCCCGCCTTTGGTGCACCGCCGGACCATCGCCTGGTCGGTGGCCCACCTCCCTCTTCTTCACCTCGCCCTGGGCGCGGGCCTTCACTAGCAGCTCTTGACTCGCGCCGCCGCGGCGCAACTGGCGGAGGGTGATGGGCAGCAGCTTCTGCGGCCCCGCCGCCTGGGCGGTCGCCTATAACTTGGCGCCCCCCTCGCTGCAGGTCACGGGGAAGAGCGGCTGACCTGGAGCTGGGGTCCTGAGCCGCTTCTCCAGGAGTAAGGGAGCAAAAAGTGGCATAAACATAAAAACTCGGAGATCCGCGCGGATTTCTCGGATCGGCGCTGGAACCCCCTCCCTGGCGCGTGGAGCGCGCCAGGGGCGGCGCCGGAGGCGCCGCCAGGGGGGTCCAGCGCGGATCCGAGAAATCCGCGCGGACCTCCGAGTTTTTATGTTTATGTCATGTTTCGTTCCCCTGCGGAGGGGAGGGGGGGGCCAGGCGAAGGCGGAGCTGTCGATCAACAGCGAGTCGTCGCGCGCGCCCGCCTCGCTGGATGCCCCCGCTCCCCGAGGGCGCAGGGCCACGCCCCGGGTGCCCCGAGGCCCGCCGCGCAGGACTCGGCGGCTCAACGCAGGGCTGTTGGCGGCAGAGGCCCCTCGCACGGCCCGAGGTAGATCCCGCACATGATCGCTGCCAATTTCGGGAGCGGCCAAGAGGGGGGTGTCCACGAGGGGGGGGTGCAAATCATGACCGGCGGCATGTGCGCGGCCCAGCGGGGGGGCCTGGGACGTAATGAAATAAGAAGAGGCGCCATGAAATCTGAGGAAAAATCATGGCCCGCGCCATGAAATCCCCCCCCCCTATTCATCCCCCCCTCTTTTCCGCTCCCGACAATTCGGCCATCTCCCGCTCTCCGGCGCTCACTAGCGCCGGGGCGACCAGAGAGACAGCGCGCTGCCCAGGGGGGCGGCGCTAGTCGCCTCCTAATCTTG